GACTTCCAGATGATCAGCGGCATGTTCCCCGGCAAGAACCGGCGGCACGTCAAGATGAAGTTCAACCGCGAGGAGCGCCACCGGCCCGCGCGCATCGACGCCATCCTCGTCGGCAAGAAGGAGCTGCAGATCGACCTGGAGGAGTACAAGACGTGGACAAAGGCCGAGTACGAGCCCGTCGAGGCCATCATGGCGGCGCAGCGCGCGCAGCAGGCCGAGTTCGACGCCGAGCAGGCCAAGATCAAGGCGGCCAAGGACGCCATCAACGCCAGGAACCTCGCTTCCCTGCAGGACAAGCGCGAGGGCGGAGGGGATGCCGAAGGCGAGGGTTCCGCGGCGGGTGCTGCTGGCGGGGGCGGCGGTGGTGGAAGCGGGGGCGGCGGCGCCAAACCCAAGAGGCAGCAGGCCAACGTCGGTCCTCAGATCACGGTTGACGCGGACGGCATGATTACCATTGACGAGACGAACATGGACCCCGACGCGGGACGCAAGAAGAGGGGCGCGGGCAAGACGAAGAAGAAGGCCGTGGAGTACAACATGCGCGGCGAGATTATTCACTGAGCACACGGAGGTGTACAGATCACGCACCGGGGGCCGAGGGTCATGGCATTGCGGACAGAGACGCGGACTGCTGGCTTTCTCCCGGTCCTACCAGACAGATACCCCTTTTTTTTTTCTGCAATTACACCAGGGGCCCTATGGGCAATGAAGCGGCGTTTGGTATTTCAGTGATTCGTTTATTATTGCAGCGAAGGGAACTCGGGAATCAGGGCGAAAGGAACGGCTAGGGAATCGAGACATCCTCGTCTCAGAAGTACATTCCAAAAAAATTCAAATCACTTTATACAATCTGACAGAAGTACCGTGCTTGTGCCATCATTCAAGACCACCCAGACTGCATCTGTAACCACCTATTCACGGCAAACTCAACCCCATCATCGTAAACCACCCCCACCTCCCTCACCTATCAAAATCAAAAACACCAAACCACATAAACACCCCTCTTCCTCATACCACCGCCCAAGGCGAAGGTTACTATGACCAGCACAAGGATACAGAAACAGTGCGTGCAGACGTGAGGAAACGTCAAAAGATAAAATCAAAAATTATACCTGGTACGGTTCCCGCAAAGGAGCCCCACACGGCGAGGGGCACGGCCGCGGTACTCACTCTACTGCGCGGGACAGCAGAAGTGTGTGTGCAATGCAGGCCCCCCTCCTCCACGACCCGGTACTCTTGATCTCCGCAAGTCGTCAGGCAGGTAAGTATACAGAAGGAACAGCAACTCACACATGGACAGGCGAGGTGTAGGCGTTCTTTTCTAGTCCCCATTTGATATGAGGCCAAATGCCAAATGTGTAGAGGCCAATCAGCCCCTTGGACCGACCCCTGGGACCAACTCACATTGGCCTCACTCACATGATCAAATGCGCCACAGGCCGGAACATGGCACTGAAGAGTTGAATTACCCGGTACTACCCGGCCTGGCTACCTAGGACTGACGCCACGCTCTCTCCCAAGCCAGAACAGGAACAATCCTGGTCAAACACAAGCATGAGCAGTTGTAACCGCGAGTAGCTTGCGACCTCCGTATGCGTTCGGATCATTTCACGCATGTTTTCCTCAGATTGCTTGCCTCCACGCCAGCTCTACCGAAAAAGAATTGCATCATCTACTTCCACGCGGCCACATGCCCGCCTTGCTGATGGGGATACCGCCCTTCCGGACCAGGTATCCTGTGGTCTTTTCCTCACGTCAACGTCGTCGAGCCAACCCCGTCCGGTAATTCCTGAGCCCTGCGTTTCTGTCATAGATTGTGTCGTCACGCGGTCGTTGCGAGTCGGACTTAGTTCTGGGGCGCATCGTCGTCGTCGGGCTGATCGAAGAGGAAGTTTGCGGCGAGCTCCTCGTTCTTGTCGCAGGCAAAGTAGGCCTGGATGGCAGCGTCGCGGTCGAAGCCGAGGCGGCATAACTAAAGTAGTCAGCATCGTGATTCTCATACGATGTCAAGAGAAACCCACCCGCTCAATGGCATCGCGTTCCTCCTCGGTGACCTGAATGGCCTGCGCACCGGGGGGTAGAGGCACATCGTCGTCAACCTCCTCGCCGAGAAGCTGTAGAAACTGGTCGGGGTTGTTGGCGATGAGCTGCGCAAGCTGGGGGTTGCCGGCACCGAGCTGCTGAAGAATAGGCTCCAGCATCTGCGGCTGTTGCTGGACAACCTGGCGGAGCTGTTGGAACTGAGCGTTGTTTCTGAGAAAGTCCAAATTGCCGAAGCCACCCTGTGCGGCGGCAGCGGCAGCAGCAGCGGCGGCGGCCTGGGTGTTGCCGGCGGAGGCGCCACGTCCACCACCGCCGCCACCACCACCACGCGACTGGGCAGCGAGATCAAAGAGGTTGACGTTGCCGTCATCACCGCCGGCCGGCGCACCACCAGAAGGCTGGGCGGGGGCCGCGGCAGCGGCTTGTCGCTGTGCTTGCTCCTCCTGGACGTCTTCGGGAATGCCCTAGTCATTGTCAGCGTCCAGCGAACCAAGTCCTCGAGGTATCGGGTCTCACGCTGAGCAGGTACTCGACGGCTCTGTCGGGATTGTAAAAGGCGGCACGCATGGCGGCGTCGATCTGAGCGCGCTCGAAACCCATGGCCTCCATGTTGGCAATCACCTCCTGGCGCTGAGCGCCCATGGCCATTGAAGGGTCGTTGTTGCCGGCATCGCCACCGGTAGATCTAGCGGCCGGAGTCGGCGTAGCGGGAGCCGCGGCCGGGGCAGCAGCCTGAGTAGCGGGAGCGGGAGGAGCAGCGGGCGTGGAGGCGACACGCTGAGCAGGCGTGGCGGGGACGGCGGGCGCAGACGAGGACTCGGCGGCGGGAGCGGGCTTGGGTGCCTTGGGCTGTTGGATCGTCAGTAGGGTAGACTCGAGCAGGCGCGGGTATTGTCGTCGAAGCTACGGACCTTGTTGACCATGCAGACGACGAAGCCCTTCTCCTCAATCTTGTAGGACTCGACCGTGTCGTCGTCCTTGAGGATCTTGCCTAGTATAGCTGTCAGCCGGAGCCATCGCCTTCCTCCAGGTGGCGGGGTTGCCTACCAGAGTAGATAAGCTTCTGGTCCTTGGGGTCCCATCCCTTCTCTCCAGCAATCTTCTGCTTGACAATCGAGATCTATTTATCTCGTCAGTTTTCGAGGTCGGACATCGCAAGGCAGCTGTGGAGGGTCATCTCGGAGGCGGAAGTGGGGGTGAGGACGCACAAGGTCGGTGGGCTCCACGTCAAGCGTGAACTTTTGTTGCTTCAAGTCCTGGAAAACAGCCAAAATGATCAGTATGAGCTTGAGGTTGGAGCTGTGGTGAGGCGCGCAGTGCCATCATGCCTCCAGTGGTGGTGGTGGTGGTGGTGGTGGGGGAGGAGGCTCGGAGCTGAGCATACCTTGAATGTGACCTTCATCTTGGCTAGCTTCGGGGCAGCAAAAAGGCTGCAATCACAAGGGACAAGCTGAGGGTGCTGATTTGATGGGGGGGAAATAGAGGGATAGATTGAGAGTGGTGATGGAGGATGAGTGCGCTGGGGATCGATGCGCAGTAGCAAGTGGGTGAAAGATAGAGAAACCCGTCACCTTGGTGTTTTGTTGTGTGCGCGGGAAAGACTGGTTAAGGTACAGAATTAATGGAGATGACGAAGGTAAGTGGTGACCTGAAGTCAGTTGTTTGGTTGCTGCGCAGTGGGGGAAGGCGGCGGGCAGGCGGTTCTAGTTGGTTGGCTGAGGTACCTTCCACAACTCCCACGTCCTTTCTCTGCTGTCCCCGTCCATAATGGTCGGTGGTTAGTGGTCAGTGGTGGTGAATAAGCAATGGGCCCAAGTCTCGCCCGCCTCTCCACTCCAGGTCACCACCACTACCAGCCAGGCAAGAGCACCAGCGACGGCCTAGCGCATCGGTCTCTGTCTGGATCGGGTGGCTTCTCTCCTAGCCAAACTCTGTTTTTCCCCCCTACACAAGTGGCGGTGCAACTTGATCTCAAGGTGCTGCTGTGGCACTGCGTGGGTAGCCAACTGTGCTTGTGGTTTGCTTAGGCATCCAAGATGAGGTAAGAAAGACATGAGGGGAGCAACCTTTCAAAAGACCTACCTGCCCTAAGGTACCTAGGTAGTCTAGAACACCCCCAAAAAGCCATTGGGTGACAGGCACTGGGAAACATGGCACTCGAGCTTCCTGTTCGCTTTGCCTCGCGGTTCCATTCATTCGCCCATGTACGGATACCTACCCAGCAGCCAAGCCATCGGCATAGTCTGCAGAAATTTTTGGTGACAGCTACCTTACCTCACGGAAAGCGGGGTGTTGCACCAACTCCTGGGGTTCTTCGCTTCCTAGCCACGTCGACAATGGATACCGACCGTTGAAGAGCAACACACAAAGACTTGATCAAAGGTGGCCACATCCGTATGCCTAAAGCCCGTACTCCGTACTCTGTACGTACTCGCCTCGCATGATATCACAGGCCACTCCCTGAGCTGCACTGTCTGCCGGCTCAGATAAAGTGTCTCTCTCCCGCCTGGATACTTGCAGGAACGCCTGGGGCCATCACTGAGGTCCGTGCACAGCACGGCCGGGTCCGCAACGGGAAGGCCATGCGTAGCGGCGCGGGATCATCCATATTCCGATACGAGACGGTATCATTTCAGCAAACGTTGACCACTTATCAAAAAGACACCAAGTTTCGTTACTCGTTAAGTTGTTTTCAGCTACTGTAGCCATCTATCCTAGCTTATCGGCGGCTTCTCTGGCCACTCGATGTTGGATCTTTTTTTCCTACTCTGCCTCCCAGGACAACGCCGCGCTGGACAAAGAAAATAAAATCCCTCAAATATGGTATCACCGCCCGAGTTCGTACTCCCTTATTGTTGTCGAGGACAAAATAGCAATTAGACATTCATGAAGACCACGCCGGGTCAGGTTTTCTCCTTGGACACACCTCTTGTTGCCGTTGGTGCATCCCTCCTTCATCATGATTGCTCTTGCTCGGCGTCCCCGTCGATGCGGAGCTTCCGACTTTGGTACCCGTTTAGGCTCGTCCTGGCTCCGGCGGTTAGGATCCACTCCGGGATCGGGGGCGTCATCTGTCTCTCACCGAGTGTTTCGTCCTCCTCTTGGGGTGATGGGAGCTCCTCCTTCTCTTCTTTCACGGGCGGCTGGCCGTTGGGGAAAAAGTTGTCATAACTGCTGGTGCGGCTGAGGGGGCTAGGGCCTCCGGGCAGACTGCCACTGCGCATGCGGCGGACGCTGTGTCGATCCGAGATGACGCGGCCGGCGTCTGGCGCCGCGGTGACAACCGTGCCGGGTGTCACCATCGGCGGCGGGTCTGGGGAGTCAGACCGGAATAGGGGGTGAATGTGAGATTCGCTGGCCGAGCCTTGCATGGTAAAGGCGGGCTCGGGACGACGCAGAGAGCACTCGCTGGCAGAAGTCTGCAGCGTAAAGGTAGGCTCAGGGTTGCGGAGGGTGCCCATGGGGCTGGGGCTGTAGCTGCGGCTCCGACGACGAGTGCGCGGAGCTTCCAGGTCCAGGTCCAACGGCGTTCCAGGGCTGGGACTGCGGCTGGTTGTAGGGCTGGCAGGGATCGTTTCCAAAAACCTGCCGGGGGGAGAGGATGTGCCCAGGACGGTCATGCGGCTCTGCATGTCGACCGAAGACGTGTCCCACGAGTCAAAGGACGAATCCTCGTTGACACTGCTCGATCGCGAGCGGTAGTGGTTCGAGTCAATCGACTCTGCCCTACGCTTCTCCCGCAGAGGGAGCAGGCGGGTTCGGGAGGAAATGGGTCGGACGACGTTGGACAACGAGGAGCGGAACGAGCTCAGTGTGTCGGTGGCGGAATGGCCGCTGCTCGACTGAGGTGGACTTTGCGAGCCCATGGAGGTGGACCGGCTCCTGCCGTCAAAGGTGGGCGAAGTACGGTGGTAGGGAACCGACTTGATGTGGACGTTGGGAGATCTCTGGGACTCCTCGTCCGAGTGCATGGAACCAGACTCGTCGCGGGCAACGAGGCGGGCCAAGACGAAGTGAATGACAATGAAGATGAGCTGACAAGCAAAGCAGAGACCGAGAGCGACGGACGAAGCGATGAGGAAGCTCGTCTGGGTCGCACCGAGAACGGTACCCGCCAGGTCCCTCGTAGCGTTGCTAAGGCAGATCATGGTGGCTACCGACGCAGCAGTGGCCATGGTGCAGACGAGGACACTCGCACCAAACATGGCGCTGATGAAGCGCTTTGAGGAATTCCTAAACTTGGCAACCAAGTTGGTTGACAACATCCATCCCAAGAATACCAAAAGAATGCTTTCCAGAATCGAAGACAGAATCGAGGAGGTGCGCACAGGCGCCGCATCGGCGATATGAGCGGCGAGGACGACGTGGATGATGACAATCGTAATGGTGGCAATCAGAGCCAGCGCGCCGGCCGCAACGGGAAGAGCTCGCGGAAGGCCCATGATGAAGTTGGGGCTTTCAAAGCCGGGTGGGAATCGAATACGAGCGGAAAATGAAGCTGGGGTTTTCCTCCGCCGCTGACACGGAGAACTGTTCGGCTGAGGCGTTGCAGATGGGTCTGCCAGAGACCGGTGGATCGGTTGTTTGTTCTCGACGGCGAACAAACGGCTTGTCAAGACTAAAGACTGATGAATCGATGAGGACTGGGCCCCGATGAGGCTGGGTTACTGGTGTGAGACGACGGCGGGTGTAAGTGACGTGTCGACGACTTGATTCCACAGAGTTTATGACTAGACGACGTGAGATTGGGACGCGGTTGACCAGCCGTGTACATGAGCACTGTTGATGGTTCGATCTGTAGGAGAGCTCCGTATAGAAACTCTCTGTCCAGGGCGAGTACAGAATGGGGTGTTGTCGTTTGCGTTGACGAATAGGATGCCGAGCACTGGGCAGCGAGGCTTCACTATGGAACCGGGTTGCTTGAGATGGTCCAGATGGCCGGTGTAATGGGCCCGATGTTGTCGATGGGGATTGGGTGAAGCGAATGTTCAAGTCGTGGGTTTAACGAGAGAATAGTAGTTGGTGAGAAAGAACGGAAGGGGGTTGAGGGAAGAGGTGTAGGTGTAAGTAGAGGAGACGAAGGACGAAACCTGGGAACCAAACGAATAAAGTATGGTAGGCGGTCGTGGTCGCGTTTTTGTGTGCGGTGCGTTGCGGTGCCTGGGTTGGGGGTTAGATGGCATTCCCTGTCGGGGGGAGGGGTGTGGGTGAGGGTAGAGTCCAGCGTCGCGTGGGCAAACGGCAGACCGAGCGAGTTTATTCGTACTTTACGCACACACCTCGGCCGGTGGATTCTTCTTCTTCTTTTTTTTTTCGTCCCTTTCCTTTGGTCTCTGGGTCTCTGCTCCGTACCCAGACTCAAGTATCGAGTGAAGGAAGGATGGCAGTGACAAGGATGTGGGAGGGATGCCGTGGTGGAGCGCTCGGAACGAAACACTGGCAGCTACCCTTGTCCGTGCCGGGGGCGTGCGCTCCTGGGACGCTGGACAGAGTCCGGGTCTGGTGTGGTCTGGGATCCTGACTGGAGACCTGGGAGTCTGGGACCAGGACTGGGAGCCCGCGGCGGCAGGGGAGTGAGGCCCGCGGTGACGAGATGATTCGGGATCTGTGATGTGCTGATGCTGCTGCTGCCGTGCCGTGTCAATGTGTGTTCAGCGCGTGCGTTCCCATGTGCTGGACCGTAGAATTGCACTGGTGGTAGACAAAGTACCAATGCTGCACGACACGAGCAGGTGAGATGCAGGGCTCTGTCGTCCCATTCATCAGTTGCCGCTGCCGCTGTATGTACGTGTCTGTTCTGCCAGTGCACAGAGCCAGTCAGAGAATTAGATCTTGACCGGACGATGCGACGGCTATGTATGTGCTCTCTGACCTCGTCGTTTGTTGTGTTGCTTGTACTTGTAGCACCTCGGCAGAAGTCGTACTGCCTGTGGCAATCAAACTCGACTTTCCAATCGACCACTTTGATTCGATTGTGTCTCCATGTTGTGCCAGCTAGACTCGATAATTCCTCCCCGTAGACTCTCGTAGGTAGCCGTAGGCGAAAGAATCTTGGGCCGAGAGGCTCTGGCTACCTTAGTTTCCGATGGTAGCATGAGATGGCGAGGGCTGACACTGGAGCTGCGGGGGATTATTGGCCGCGCCGTCCCCGATTAGATGAAAAAGACAAGCCACAAGCGCGATATAAAACATGGGAAAAACGAAGGTCCAGAGACAATGGCGTGAGGAAAGGGAGGGGGAACCATCCGTCATCCCACCCGGCGGCTTCTGGAAGAAGAAACAAGAGGGGAAGCATCGTCAGCCACAGTAGGATTGCCCCAAAAAAAGAAAACTCTCGGCGCGCAATGGCTGACTGGCAGAAGGCATATGTCGAGGCAGTATCCGTAGCAAGCAGTCTACCTAGCAGACCAGTCTCGAAATGCGTGGTTTTTGGCATCTCGTCTTCTTTGCCAAGCGCCGTCACTCATCTCCTTTCTGATATAGGTCGCTGTCCCCGATAAGCCCAGAGTTGGAGCGTGAGCCGTCTTTTCCCTGGTTATCCCTGGTCCGTGTTGTTCTTAACCAGCACGGCTAATGTCGCTTTTGCTCCAGCTCCGGCGCAATCGACGATGCTCGTCTTGCCTTTCCCATCATTGATTGACACGATCTGGGTCTATCCAGGCTACCAGGAACAATCGCAAGTGAGGTTCCCACTCGGCGAGTGCCTCGCACCATGGTTTGCGAAATGACGGCGCTGAACAAGACCCCGTGGTTGATCAAGTGAGGCTCTGGGCCGTGCTAGTTTTGTTTACATCGTGTCGCTTTCGGCATGGTCGCAGCGACGTGTCGAGATGGGCACTAGATGCTCACTAGATGGCGACGACGGCGCAGGGTAAGGCTGGACTCGAGAGCTGCGGTCGCATCGTATGTGAGGGGGTTGTGCAGGTACAATCTCCGGTCCTCTTTGCTATCGCCCGAAGCTACATCGCCCGAAGCTGCCAATTGAAGGTGCTCCCTTGCATCCGTGAATCAACACAACGAGCCATCAATCGTTCCGTCAAATCCGTTCTGGCCAGTAGGTGTCCTGGCGCAAGCTACGGCACTTCTGCCCCTCAATGGGCCATGGCGCTGTGCCTCTTCTTCTATCCCAAAGCAGAAGGCCATGATCGACGAGGCTAGCGATGAGATGCGTGGCGTCTCCTTGGACTGGTTGTTTGTTTTTGGGTGAGACACGCGAATCCCTGTCGGTTGGTTGCGAGCAGAGGGAGACAGAATCGCTCTTCCGACCCAAGACAAGCTGACACTTTTCCCTCGTGGACAAGTGGCCGTCATGCGCAGTCGGCGATAGCTTCAAGACACTTGCGACGTCGGACGGGGTTCAAACTTTGGTTGCTCGACTGCTGAGTCGCCGAGTGTCAACAAAGTGAGGGCAACTCTTAGCTAGAGGTAGTGAGCCCACCCACCCGTTGGCATGGCAATTGACTGGTGCCAGGAGAAAGCGGAGGCAAAAAGCCAGTGCTCTCATGTTTCGACAGAGGGGTGTTCCCTCTTGAGTGTCTCTCTGCCTCCGTACCCTACTACGTAGACTAAGGTAGGTACAGAATAGCGGCTTCCGGCTGCCTTCAGTGGAGAGCTGGCGGCGTACCTGAGGGGGCGAAGAGGGGCGAGAAGGGGTCGAGAGAGAGACCTGAGGGGTCTTGCTTTGACCAACAGGCGACGGAGAGAACTCGGTCGCATGGGTGGTCCATGTTCTGCAGAGGGGAAGTTTGCATAACAAAAGGGCGGTTGTGCCGTTTCCCCGGTGCGCTACCTATGGCTTTGACCTTGTGCAGACGGTCAGATAAACATTGGTAGCTGGAGCTGGAGCTGGAGCTGGAGCTGTCTCCGCCAAATGGTCTTCTCTGGTTGAAGAGTCCTACGGAGTATCAGGCTCCCAGCCCAGTTGCCAGTGACGCAGAGCGCATCTAGATTCCGAACCTGGCCGAACTGACTCGGCCCCCAAAGAGGGCCAGCCCGGCTGCCCGAGTTGGTAAAAGAGATTTTCGAGATTTTCTGGGGAGACGCTATTTAGTTTTGTCGTTGGAATGTAACTGTCTAACCTCCATCGGGACACCAACGGCTTGACAACGACTCGCCAAAAAAAAAAAAAAACGAGAAGAAGAACCAGGTTTAGCAATGGCAGAGACAGGGAAGGCGATCTATCGACGAAGATTTTTCCATGGGTGCAAAAAGCGTAAAATGATACAATATCAGAGGTACCTTGGGTACATGAAGATGTGCAGCAAGGCAACCAGGGATGGAAGTACCTCGAGATTTTCCTGCCGCCTTAATTCCCGACGGACCCAAATGACTGGGCAGGAGCCCGGGGGTGTCTGGCTGTCTGCTCCTGCTGCTTCTCGCGAGTGGCCAGGGACCTGTCTCAAATTTTCTATTCTCGGCTCCTGCTGGAGTTGGGAAATCTCGGAGGACGAAAATGACGCACGCCTGCCATTAATGGGATGCCTCCCCGCTCAGCGCTGTCACCTGTGGGAGTCTGTCTACACAGTACCTTAGCTTGGGAGAGTGTCTCGAGTGCCAATAAGGAGAACGTTGCCAGGTCAGATGCTGATACCGAAAAGGACGAGGCCAATGCGAGGCAAGCCAAGTGTATAGTGCACTCCGTGTATATCAATGCTCAACCTCTTCTCGGCGCAATGGAATCCATTCTCCATCCAAAGGTCCAAAAGGAGCAAGGAGGGCTCTAATGAAGGGACGAAAAAGACCTTGAAACAATGGCAGATGCTACAGTGCCATACTCCGTACCTACCTTACCTTACCTGACCTCAAGGTATCTCCTTAGCCATGCCGCGAGGGGTACGTAGCGCATGTCTCTGCCTGAGGGCCACACGACTACCTTACCTTGCCTACTCCTGCCAACCACAGTCAACCTACCAGATAACGGAGTACCGACCTGCAGATGTACGGACTAAGGTATAGACTGCCTGAGGTATGAATGTACCTCACACAAGAAGTTCACAAGGAAAGACCTTTCAGGCTCTTTCCAACGTCTTTTCTGACTCCAAGGCGTCCCTGCCTTCCCGGCCAAGTTCCCGCACACACCTCATGCCAGCCGTGGGTCCCAGCTCCCTTCCCGCTGTTACCAACCTGCTGCCTTGATTCGACGACTTTCCATCTCCTCTCCACCAAATTTCGCCCCATGTTGTCCTTAGTCCTGAATGACTCTTGGGTCTTGACTTGTGAAGCCTTGGGCCATGGTCCACCACGGCTTCCACTCCTTGACTCCGTGTCTCTCCACATGGCCACACTTTTCCACGACACTGCCCTGGCCGAGAATGGGCCTCGCTGTCCCAGCCAGGCACAGGCTGCAGCAGGCTTGCAAATTGCGTTTTCCCCGGCAAGCGAGAGGACGGCACGACAGGGCAGGGCACGACATTGACAAGGCTCAACGAGGCCTGACACGAGCGACGAGGCCGGAGGACCGCCAGGATCCAACGTGCTCGACGGGGCCTGCGAGAATTAGATCCACGGCCAGAAGCCTGGAACTCCTTGGGCCTTGGAACAAGTGGAAAAAGCGGCGCCGATGACGAAAGAACGCATCTGAGATTCATCTCGGAGAATGAATCTACGGAGTCACTGAGTATACTACAGTAAGGAGTACATACCTACAGGCTACTCATGTGAGGACGGCGCACGGCATGGAGCACTGCGTACGGAGTACTGTCTGCAGACTTGTTGCAGTGCTGATCAATCCCCGGCCGCCAGCGGCAGCCAGCCTGTTGGGCGCACGCCGGCGCTCTTTTGGGGGCTGACGGCGCATTTCCACATCTTCTATTCCTGCTTCCTTTTTCTCCGACGCTTTCCAATCAGAGACGCCCAGCCCATGCCTCCCCCGCTGCTCGTCATCTCTCACGTCGATGGGAGATGGATTAGAGATGAGACAGGCCCTGTGGTTGGCATGTTGGTGCCTCGCCATTGGGCCGCCGGCCGGCATTGGTGAGTCTCTGTCTCTCGTCTAATTCTGCTCCAGCCCCGTACGAATACCTAGGTACAAACAAAGGGTGCTCTTGCGATGGAGGGTCGGAAAATGGCCATTGACTGACACACAATGTGCCCAATGTCTCTTGAGCTCAACGTCTCCGTCCTACGCCCGCACAGAGTTTGTGCCCTGCGTCGGCCTTGCTGCGAATGCAGAGTTCTCGTCAACGATACGTACCGGATGTACCTGACCCTAGTCCCGATGTGCTGCGATGCGATGCTGAGGCGACCGCTCGCCGTTCCGCGGCCCCATGGGATCGCAGCAAATCCGTCGCATCTCATTCGTCGCATCTCGTTCAGACGAAGAATGCCGGGCCCAGATGTGTCTTGTACCTGCGTTTAGGGCTCACGCTGCCGCACCTCTGGTGGAGTGGCGGTCCAGTCTGTTTTTTTTTTTTTTTTTTGCCCACTTACATACAGCATCGCACCAATTATGTATCCTTCCAAAGTACCTTTAGCCGGTTGCTTTGTCATTCTGAGTCCTTTTCTGCCCCGATCAACTTTGTCCCGCTCCTGCTGTTCCCACCACGCGAGCGGCGACGTCAAGAGGGGAAGCGGACGCCAAAGAGTCATTAATACCACTTGTTGCGGAGTACGGCCCAGATTTCAAACTTCTTCGCAGCAATCAGCACCGAGAAGAAGCAACCTCGTCGAGAACCGGCCGTTACGCCTTGCCGAGTCTTCCCATTCGCAGTTGACTCTAGGATCTTGCTTGGAAAAGCCGCTGTCAGAAGAGGGGCTCATCTGCACAAACCACAAGCAGTCACAGCTCGGGCAACCAAGTGAACAAAAAGTCGGCTTTTGCTGGCAATGACTCGGTGTTATTCTGGGGGTTCTAGGGGATATCCCCGCCATGACCGCACCTTGGACAAAACGTTAAACCCTCGGTGGAGATGGCATCACTGCGCGCCCACGTCCGTCTGCCGTCCGTCCGCCCGCTCTTCTGCGAACCGCTCCCAGGTCCACCCACAACGTGTCAGCCCGCACACATGTTTGACGGGGTTGAAACGAAAAGAAAGGAGGCCAGAAAAAAATCTGCTTCTCCATGCTCTTTCGACAGCACTTGTCAACGGCTCCGATCCTTCTGTTGCCAATTTTGGAAAAAAAGAAAAAGGTTCGCACGGCGCTCCAGCACCAGAGTTTCGTCTTAGTCGGCGCCCCAAAAAGGGCCAAAGTCTGGCTAGGCCATTGGCCGTTTGCGGCTTGCATGCGCGCACAACGGGCGAGCGTTGCAACTCACCATAGGTAGCTTGATGCTACTGTCGTCTTCTTTGTCCAGGAACAACTGAAACGGCACGATGGCAAGGAGCGCGCGCCCGCCACGTGGGGATCTACCAGACTTGCTGAGCTTCCGGTTAACGGTTCCTGTTTCGTGTCTCCCATTCCGGAAGCATCTTCTACTTCGATAGCTGCTGTCTGGCCGAATTGATGCAACTACACGTGGTCGACAGTCTTTAGGTGGCGCCATATGTGTTGGACTTCACTTCTCCGATTGTGGGATTCAGGCGAGGTCACGCTGTGGCCGCGAGAGAGGATGCGCTGGCAACATCTCATTACGTACTGATAGGTGTCTATTTCGATGCCAGCCGTGCAGCCGTCGTCAAGTGATGCTCGGAAGCATATGTCGACTACCGCGCAGGCAGATCAAGAACACTTCATCCCGCCATCGCTCGCGGTTACCTGCAGACCCGTCGGATAGATCCCACGATGGTTCAGGTCCAGCCAGTGCAGTTGTATCGGGGCGCCGGGACGTTGTCCAAGTCTGTGCCTCCTGCTCCGCCATAGCACGGTTGTGGCCACCGCCGCCGGCTCGTCATCGGTCACAACCATCGTGGACGGCCAGCACTTGTTTGCCCGCGGCTGGTGCATGCAACCGAGCACATGCGCTCTGTCTCTCGAGGCCGGCGACTCACCGGTGGCCCCCACAGTCGGTCAAGTTCGTCATAGGGATTCGAATTTCTCTAGAATCGAGGTCGAGGTCGAGGCCGAAGTTGCACGACGGACGTCGCCCGACATCTTCCGCCTTTACTCTTGCGGCGCTGCACAATTCCCGTACGGATATGCGTGTGTATGGGATATTCTCCGGCTCCCGCGCGGCATCCCAGGGTGTTGCGTGGCAGGGTTGGGAATCTGGGGCGAGGCAAATTGACCAAATACAGCAAAATGGCAACGGCTTCGGGGAGTTGATATTAAGATTTGATGAAGGGGATTGGCCTACCAGGTTCCATCATCGCTTGGAAAGGGGGCTAAAGTGCATCCCTTTGCCGTTACATTTCGCTTCCCTTTGTATTTCGCCTACCCCGGTCCGTCGCCGGCGGCACGACCAGCCCCTGCTCCCCCGAGGGAAAGAAAACGTACGGGGCATCTCGCATCAAGTTTCTGCTTTATTACCCGCGAGAGCTGTTAAGGAGGCTGGTGCAAGTTGTACTCCTTCCCCCAGGGGTTCGCCGAAGCTTTGGCACTATCGATTCACCAGTGAAGTCAACCAGGGAGGAGGATATGCAGGGCTGTGGTTGACAGGTTCTAGCTTGCCGTTGCAACTTGCAGCCTTGCAGTCCAAGTGTGGTTTTGCAACGGCCAAGATATGCCTTGAGTCATTTGCACGCCGCCCTGCTTGGAGGTAGGAGTCCGGCGTCGCCCGGCTGCTGTGCGAATGGGGAGATGAGAGTTCATCGTGAATCCGGAACGGGATCACGAGGCCCAGAAGGGGTATACCGTGGCTGGATATAGCCTGGGAGAGGCGGCAGCCCGAATTCAGCACGTCATGATATACAGAGAGTCGGGCCTCTGGTGCTTTTTGCGACGCGTCCTTGATTGGTACCGGAGTCAGAAATGCGATCTTGTCCTGCTGATTCAGCTGATACTGCGGCCATGGTTCCGTGAAGCTTGCGAATTTTGATAGCGAAGTGCCTAGACGGGCTCGGTCAGACTTGGTCGTTCACATTTGCAATAAATGGGATGCTGGAGGAATGGGATGTTGCGTGTACTCATCGAGACTGCCTCAAGGACTAGGCATGATGCAGCGCTGAGTGAGCCACCCAGAGAAATCCTGCAATACTGACCATGTGCGAGATCACCGCCCTACAATCTACGATACCGTCGGCCATTTTGCGAGTGTCCAGAGAGGATTCCTTTGCTAGCAGAGACATGGCTGGTAGAGAGATTGTCTCCTTGCGACCCTCCAACCATCATTGACAGGACCTGGCGGAACACGCTTCTCGACATGCGTTTTGGAAACCTCGCGGTTATGTTCGTAGACTGCTCTTCTGCATTCTGGCTTGGAATGGGACTTCAGTTGAAGACATGAGCTCGACCGGCGCATCGACTATTCACTGCAGACCGTCAGTCTCTCCTTTAGGCACTCGTTCGGCCAATCGCTGGAGATGAAACTGGGCACAATTGTGCGCACTACACCGTGGAAGTCGTGGATCATGTTCTTCTCGCTTCAGCTGGACCAGAGCTTGAATGCTGTGTCGTCTCCTGCACGGCCACTGCGCGTTCAAACACGAATTGTTGTCGACTTCTGCTTTCACGAGGATCGCAGCTTCAACAAAGGAGCGATTTGTTCGAGTCGAGAAGCTCCCGCCATCGACGGACTGTATTCAGAGGGCTTGTTGAGGCCTGAGAATATGTCTTATTTGTAGAGTCGCGACTAGGTGATGCGAGGGGCAGGCATCGCAGTATGGTTCCAGAGGCGCTGTACAATCTGTGCAATTCGTAAGATGGACTCGGGAGGTTGAGTTCAAAGCCAGATGCAGAGATTGCCAGCGCCTTTTGCCTGGATCTCATCATCGTCCAATGAAGATGGTTCCCCGAGGTGAGCCTACCTTAGGGGGAAGTTTTGGGGCAGCTCCACGTGCCATGATCAAACGCAATTCTCAAGCAAATCTCATGATGCCCGACAATGGGTGGTGAGAAGTCTCACTGGCCCAGGTCCAGATTTATGCGACGCACACGTACAGAGATGGACGGTGAGAACTTGGTGCTTGGGTTGCCCGGAAGGACCGGCCGAGAGACATCGGGGTGATGCCCCAAAAAGCTTGTCTGCGTGCTTTCCCACATTCTGACAGGCACGCTTCCATTGGCATCTGGGGGAAAGCTCGGGTCGCCCCTCTGATCTCCAGCTGATCATTGGGCGACCCCGCAATCGACCAAATATTTCGGCCAAAGCAACGCCGAGCTCTCATCTTTTTTTCTTTCTCTTTGTGAGCCATGGTCCAAACAGGCAGCTCAACATGGCATCTTCCCTTGCGCCGGACGCGTGCGGCTTGCAATTTGATTACACTTGCAAGGACCAGCGGAAGAATTGCGCGATAATACGGGCGAGGCCACTACGGTTCCTGCGTTACTCTCACGCGAGGCACGCAGTCTGTACAGGAACGGTGACCGGGATACCCCGCAATGAAGTAATGACGGCCAGACCTCGAGCATCTGATTGCTGGAAACTAGAATCAAGAGCTGGTGGTCTGCGCCTGTTGGGGCGAGAGCCATGCAGCTCTTCGTGATGTCGCATTCGGTCCTCATTTCCGCGACTGGGATTGATGGCCGGCAACCTGTGATTGACAGTGGTGGACTCACGATCGTTTATCAGTCGGTTCGTTCCCGCGTGGTTCGCAGCAGAGCAGATCTAGAATGCAACGCCATTCTCGCTCGATCCGCACATTTATGAATCTGGAACCCGCCAAGGTTGTGCTGTCATGCGTTTTCACCGGGCTTTGACGGCCTTGATCTGGCTGTTTGCATCCGGGGCTTGGGCGACTGACAACGGCCTCACTGACGTGGTGTCGTGGGACAAGTACAGTCTCGTCATCAACGATACCCGGACGTACATCCTGTTCGTGTCGTCCCTTTAATCGCGTCTGGGGCTAGGTGTTGACTGATGACAGCTCTGCCGAATTCCACTACCAGAGAACGCGTAAGAAGCTCCAACCTCAGGTCTCGATTCGCAACTAACTCTTTTCTCCCACACAGCCGTCCCCGAATTGTGGCCCGTGAGTTCAGCCTGTCGAGGACCTCCCTTTACATACTAAACCTTCGACAAAAAGGATATTCTGCAGAAATTCAAGGCCAATGGCTTCAACACCGTGAGGTGAGTACCGGCCGCACGTCAGCAACATCTCAGAACGCTCACCGTGCCTCTCAGCATCTACTTCTTCTGGTCGTACCACTCGGCTGCCGAGGGCGTCTACGACTTTGAAACGGCGGGCAAGAACATTCAGCGACTATTCGACTACTGCAAAGAGGCTGGGCTCTATGTCATTGCCAGAGCCGGCCCCTACTGCAATGTGAGAACCTAGTATATTCGACCATGTCAAGAGGCTGACACGTCCAGGCCGAAACCAATGGCGGCGGCCTCGCTCTCTGGGGCTCTGACGGTCGCTTCGGCAAGATCAGAACCTCTGACGAGCGGTACCAGGCCGGGTGGCTCCCCTTCATCACGCAAGTGGGCAAGATTATCGCCGCGAACCAAATCACCAATGGCGGCGTAGGTGCCTTCGTCCCCGTTCATCTGCAGTCCGCTGACAAGCCTAGCCCGTTATCCTGAACCAAGTCGAGAACGAGTACCAGGAGAGCGTCTACTCCCCCGACCACACCTCGGTCATCTACATGGAACAGCTGAAGAAGGCATTCCACGACGCCGGCATCGTAGTCCCGCTGACGCACAACGAAAAGGGTATGCGTTCCCGGTCGTGGTCCACAGACTACAACAACGTCGGCGGCGCCGTCAACGTCTACGGCCTCGACAGCTACCCAGGCGCCCTCTCCTGCACCGACCCGACGGTTGGCTTCAACGTCGTCCGGACCTACTTTCAGTGGTTCTCCAACTACTCCTTCACGCAGCCGAGCTACCTTGCCGAGTTTGAGGGCGGTTGGTTTTCCAATTGGGGAAGCGCGACTTTCTATGATCAGGTGCGTGTGCTCTGAAATATTGAAGGACTGCGTGCTGACATGCAGAATAGTGTGCCTCGGAGCACGACCCAGCCTTTGCGGATGTTTACTACAAGAACAACATCGGCCAGCGCGTGACCCTGCTGAGCATCTACATGAGCTACGGCGGAACGAACTGGGGACACTGTGAGTCCTACACGAATCAGGACAAGCACTGCAGACACTGACAAGAGCAGCCGCCGCACCTCAGGTCTACACGAGTTACGACTACAGCGCCCCTCTCCGCGAGACTCGTGAGCAGTGGACCAAGCTCTTCCAGACAAAGCTCATCGGACTCTTCACCCGAGTCTCGTCGGATCTGCTCAAGGTTGAGATGATTGGGAACGGAACTGGCTACGGTGTAAGTCGCGCGGACTCTCGATAATACCCCTGCTAACGTCCATAGCTCTCTTCACCTTCGGCCTTTAGCTGGGTTCTCCGTAATCCCGATACCCAGGCTGGCTTTACCGTCGTGCAGCAAGCCAGCACCAAGTCCATGACCCCCATCCAGTTCGATGTCACCCTCAACACGACAGCCGGACCCGTTACCGTCCCGAACGTCGTGCTCAACGGTCGCCAGAGCAAGATCCTTGTCACGGATTACGTCTTTGGCAAGCACACTCTGCTGTACGCCTCGGCGGACATTGCCACCTATGGCCTCTTCGATACTGAGGTACTCGTCTTCTACCTCCAAGAGGGTCAGACGGGAGAGTTCGCCTTCAAGGATGCAGGCGGCCTTACATTTGAGGTGCTTGGCGATACGGACTTGCAGGAGACGACAAACGGTAACCATTCAGCTTTTACGTGGAAGCAGGTCGCCGGTTCCACGGTGGTCAAATTCTCCAACGGCGCTCTCGTCTACCTGCTTGAGCAAAAGTCGGCGTGGCGTTTCTGGGCGCCCCCGACAACGTCAAATCCTACTGTGAAGCCTGACGAGCAGCTATTTATCCAGGGCCCTTACCTCGTCAGAAGCGCCAGCATCTCTCACGGCGTCCTCCACGTCTCTGGTGACAGCGACAAGGCTACAACGATTGAGGCCTACGTCGGCGACAAGCCCATCGAAACCATTGACTGGAATGGCCTGCGCCTGGCCGCCACAAAAACTGCTTACGGTTCCTTCACTGCTCAGATTCCCGGTGCCGAGGACCGTGCTGTGACACTCCCCGAGCTGTCAAACTGGCGGGCGGCCGAAGCCCTTCCCGAAGCGGCGTCCGACTACGACGATTCCCGATGGACCGTCTGCAACAAGACGACGACGCCTAGCCCGTATGCTCCAGTCACTCTACCGGTGCTCTATAGCTCCGATTATGGTTTCTACTCGGGTGCCAAGATCTACCGCGGTTACTTTGACGGCGCCAACGCCACCTCGGTCAATATCACGGCTTCGGGCGGTTTGGCGTTCGGATGGTCGGCTTGGGTGAATGGACAGTTCCTCGGCGGCGACGTTGGGTCCGCTTCGGCAACGACAACCAACAAGACCCTCACGTTCCCTCGGTCCGCGTTGGTTGAGAAAAACAACGTGGTCACGGTTGTGGTCGACTACCATGGCCACGACCAGGCCTCGACAGCCCAGGGTATCAATAACCCACGCGGCATTCTCGGCGCCCAGTTGCAACCCGGCAGCACACGCACTAATACGGGCTTCAAGCTGTGGAAGCTGGCGGGCGCAGCCGGCGGCGAGGCCAACATCGATCCCGTCCGCGGACCCATGAACGAGGGCGGCCTCTACCCGGAGCGCCTGGGCTGGCACCTGCCCGGCTTTGTGCCCACCGGCTCCTCTTGGAAGCCCGAGTCCCCGCTCGTCGGTCTCTCCGGCGCGGGCATCCGCTTCTACGTCACGGATTTCACGCTCAACATCGACTCGGACCTGGACGCGCCGCTGGGCATCGAGTTCTCTGCGCCCGCGGGAACGACGGCACGCGTCATGTTCTGGATCAACGGGTACCAGTATGGCAAGTACGTCCCGCACATTGGTCCGCAGACACGGTTCCCTGTGCCACCGGGCGTGCTCAACAACCGCGGCCGCAACACCCTGGCCGTCAGCCTGTGGGCGCAGACCGACGCGGGTGCCAAGTTGGACGGGCTGAAGCTGGTGCGGTACGGGCAGTACCAGACGGATTTCAAGTTCAACCGCGACTGGAGCTACCTCCAGCCCGGGTGGAAGGACAGGCAGGAGTATGCTTAGTTGAATGCATCACGGGCAACGTCGGCCGGCGTGACTAGATTCTTAGTTGTACATATTTTGATACACGTCATCCCGTGAACTACCTACTTGGATTTATTCAACTTCTTTTTGGCGATAGAAGCCTTTAGAATCCGCGTCCACTCCGAAGCGTGTCGCTCCCAGTAGGCTGCCCACTTCTCGTCCGGGGCGCAAAACTTGCGCCATTTCTCGCAATGGTCCACCAGTTTCTGGTACGAACCGGGGATGCCCGCCCCGGCCGCCTTGAACAGCCATCCCCCTGCCCCCTTGTCGTCCGGGTACAAGTCAGCCAGGCGCGACCACCCCCGCGCGTAGCCCAGCTTTCCCAGGTGGAAAAAGGTGTCCTTGGCTTTGTCCTTCTCGCCGAGCCGCAGGTACGCGTCGCCCTGGCCCTCGAGCGCGGAGCACATCCAGTCAAAGTAGGCGGCGTCCTTGCCGAGCGCGAGGGCCTGCGTGAAGGCCTCGAGGGCGAGGTAGTCGTCGCGCTCCGTCTCGCGGTGGAGGTGGCGGAGGCCGGCGACGACCATGGCGTTCGCGTCGCGGCCCTCTGCGATGAGGGCCAGGCACCGCGTGCGGGTGTGGTGCCAGCGCGGGTTGTCCCAGTCGTAGTAGTTTTTCTTGCCCTCGGCCCTGTAGAGGTGGCGGCCGAGGGTCAGGGCGGCCGGGTCGTAGCCGAGGCCGGCGGCCGTCTCCATCATGTTGAACTGCAGGATGATTTCGGACTCGGAGTTGGTGTTTGTGAAGTAGAGGAGGCCGGCGGTCTCGTGGAGTTCGCCCGCCGTGATGTTGTTTTCTGCGGGGTTTCGTTAGCATTGGTGCGTGAAGTGGTCAGCACGGAAAAGGGGAGGGGGCGGGTGTGTTAACCTCTGACGAACGCCTTTTGCCAGTCTTGTGGTTTATCGGGCCGGGCGAGGGCTTTCATGTACTTCATGTAGACGTCGTGGGCCCGTTCCGCCGTGACGCTCATGTAGGCGAGCTCGCGGAGCAGAATCTTGAACTCGGTGAGGGACCGGGGCTCGAAGACGACGTCTCGAGGCTTTGGCTTCTCCTCTCTGGCGCTCGACTTTTTGAGGCCCGGAAGGGGCCGGAGTTTGCTCTTTGTCTTTAGCGTCCTCGTTGTCATTGTCGGCATCGTTGTCGGTGGTGGTGGTGACGGTGCTGCAGGGGCACATGGTAATGACGGCGGCGTGGGGATGCAGGCTAGGAGATGCCTTCTGACGCCGCTGGTGCGGGTAGGAGCTGTCGCGAGGCGGAACATGGTTGGCGATGGTGTTGGGGTGTTGAGTATGAGATGAGATGAGATGTGGCGCGATTGCCGGTGATTTATCGGTTGTCGAGGTGCGACCCAATGCGCGTTTTGAAGTCTATCAATACAACCTTAATGTATTTTACGAGCTGAACAGTCGCCTTCAGTCTCTTTTTGGAGACACTTTGCGACGTCGTGAATTAAAGCTGGCGATGATGAGTGAGAAGGTGGGAGTGAAGCTCCGGGGAAGCTCGAGTGAGGTCCGCGCCAGTGAAGTGGGTCTAAGACGACCAACCAATCGAATCCCATCTGCTTGACGGTAGTCTCCACCTCGAAAAAAAAAAGTTGCGACTACACCTTTTCGCGACGACATTTCATCGACATTTCTGTCTTCACTCACCACCTCACTGACAAAAGTTCTCATCCCGACTCACCTACAACTATTTACATTCTTGAAGGAGGATACCTTGAACCACATTGGCTGCGAACGAAATCGTCTGTGTAACAAGCGACTCATCAAGTGCTATATTCAACAGCGGATTCACGGCCGGCCGCTCACAACGAGCAACCCACCCTCGACAGATTCAAGGGTTCAGATTCACAATGGTCACCACACGAAACGGGAAGCGCACAGCCGCCGAGGCGCCCGCCGCAGCTGCGACCACCAAGAAGCAGAAGCTCCCGGTGCGGGCAAAGGAGGGCAAGACGGCCGCCAGCAAGAAGGATGAGACCAGCCGATCGTCATCATCAAAAAAGAGGGCCTCCTTTGTCGTGGAGCTGAAATCGGAAGCCGGCGCGGCTGCGGGCGCGCAGGACGTCAAGGAGAAGCAGATCATCACAGGCGCCGAGCAGCCGGCTCCCAGGACGGACGCTGATGAGATTGGGGATTCTGATGCCTCGCCCGAGTCGATTGGCGACGAGGCGCACGAGGCTGCGGAACAGCTTGCGGCGGAGTCCAAGACGGCGCTCGTTGCCGAGGGAGGCGACGACGACGATTCCGACTCGGATGCGGCGCCTGAGGCAGTTTCTACGTCCAATGCTGCCGTGCAGGCCAAGAAGTCTGCGCAGGCTGCCAACAAGGCCATTGCAGAGTGCGTTTTGCCATCTTGCGTGATTTGCCTTTCAGTAATTCTAACCCAAAGTGCAGACAACAAGCCAACCAGAAGCGCAAGCGCCAAGAGCGCAACGCCAGGCTCCAAGAACAGGCCGCGGCGCGCAAGGCTCAAGAGGACGTGGCACCGGCGAAGAAGTCGAGTAACGAGGAGGAGGAGGAGGAGAGCGAGGAAAAGACGGAGACTCCGGCGCGGGAAGCCGCCACTACAGGACGCCGGAAGAGGCTGGATCTCCCTTCGGAGCTCCCGGCCGAGTTCCTCGAGTCCGACTCGGAGGACGACGGCGAGACTGAGGACGGGGCGGGGGATCGCAAGCCCCGCAAGGCACGGAAGCTCGAGACGGCGGAGGCCCAACTCCTGCGCGAGGCCCGCGCGCCCAGGGACGAGGTCGTCGGCACGACTGTGTTCCGGACCGTCAAGAAGGAGGACGAGAGGCTGGCGCCCAAGGCGCAGAAGTATTCTGTCAATGCCAAGAAGGCGTTGCTGGCCCGTGGTAGGGCGGCGGTGAAGGCGCGCAGGGGGTTTTTGGTTTAGGATGCTAGAGCGAAAGGGGATGTGGAAAGGTGCTGCTTAATTGATGGATGTCTAGGGATATGCCCCGGGGGCAACGGATGATATACAAAAGTTTTTGGGTTTGCGGTTCACCAAGCGGAGTCTATTGCTGCATGTCTGTCCAAGTGAAGTTGATCAATCGGCTCTAGGTCTCGGGATCCGGCTCCGAATAACGGCGCTCACAGCACCGGTGTCTCCACTTTGGCCATCGGTCCAGACGCCACAAAAGCTTAGCCTGGTCACATCGATTATCAGGGTTCTTTGTAAAGGATCTTTTCATAACTCCACCATACGATCCAGAGCATGGCCATTAGGAAAGCTGCAGAGACGGTAGCATTGCAGAGGAGGAGGACACCTGGGATTGGACCATGTGCCATAGTGGGCTACCATTGCGCCATTGTCGCAACCCAACCAACGGCGCGGATGTTGGCCGAAACGGGCAGACGAGTCGTTTATTGCCGGGACTGATGCGATCGGCCATACTGCGAGTGCCGACGACTCTGCGACCGCGCAGCAGGCTCAGGCCGTCGGCCATAAGAAGCGTTTTTCTTTTTTGTGATGGGCTCGGATCTGATGAACTGCCCTCCCTAGTCTGTGCTCAAAACAATGGCGATGGCTTCACTCGAGGAAAAGTCACCTCCCGTGGCCGCCACGGACCCAGCCGACACTCACGATGAAACCCAGGATACATCCCGCGACAGCCCGTGGATTCGCTTCATGACGGCGATCCGTTGGTACTCCAAAGACACGCCCAGCGAAGAAAAAAGACTCGTCCTCCGTCTGGACCTGTTGATCCTCGTCTTTGGCTGTCTCTGCTTCTTCACAAAGTACCTCGACCAGTCCTCCCTGACCAATGCCTACGTCAGGTAAGCTCTTCACTCCGCATCGCGCCCCCCTCTCAATACCCCAGACTAACAAGTTCACAGCGGCATGAAGGAGGACCTCAACCTCCAAGGAAACGAACTCAACTACATGACCATCGTCTTCTGGTCCTCGTACTGCACCTCCATGATCCCCGCCTGCTACTACCTGACCCGCCACCCCATCAACATCGTCCTCCCCGTCCTCGAGATCGGCTGGGGCCTCTCCACCCTCGGCCTCGCCTGGGCGCGCAACGTGCAGACAGTCTACGCCATGCGCTTCTTCACCGGCCTCTTCGAGTCCTCCTCCTTCACAGGCATCATCTACGTCATCGGGTCCTGGTACAAGCCAGCCGAGATCGGCCGCCGCGTCGCCCTCTTCTACGTCGCCGCGCCCCTCGGCACAATGTTCGCCGGCTACCTCCAGGCCGCCGCCTACACCAACCTCCACGGCGCCCGCGGCCTCGCCGGCTGGCGCTGGCTCTTCGTCGTCGACGCCGTCATCACCGTCCCCATCGCCCTCGTCGGCTTCTTCGTCTTCCCGGACGTCCCCGCGCGGTCGAGGCCGAGACTGCTCCCGCCGCGCCTCTACGCCCTCGCGTGCGACCGCCTCCGGGGCCTGACGGCGCCGCCGCGGCTCAAGGTCTCGCGGGACATTTTCCCGCGCGTGTTCCGCCGCTGGCATTGGTACCTCTTCGTCGCGCAGTGGACCATCATGAACGAGAACCTGCAGCCCAGCGGGTCCCCGTTTTCCCTCTACCTCAAGGCCTTCCCAGCGACATACTCCGTGACGCGGATCAACACCCTGCCCACCGTCGCGACCGCCATCTCCGTCGTCTCGGCCTTTGCCGCGGGCGCCGTGGCCGATCGCACGGGCTGGTTCGCTGGGTTATCTGTCGCTGCCACCGTTCCATCGCTGATTGGCGTCATCCTACTCGTGGCGTGGGACGTCGGCGAGCGCGGTCGTCTGGCGGCGTTCATGCTCAACGGGTTCGAGGGCGCGATCCCCTCGCTGACGATGGCGTGGGCTACAATTACCATGGCCGGGGATGCCGAGGAGCGCGCCATCGTGACGGCGTCGATGAATGCCATTGGGCAGGCCATTGTTGCCTGGGCGCAGCTGCTGCAGTTCCCTGCTGTTGAGGCGCCGCACTTTCGGCGTGGGTTCAGGAGTGTTGTGGCGACGATGGTGGTGCAGTTCTTCATTACTGGTGCGATCTGGTTCTTGGTCAGGAGGGATCGGAGGAAGCAGAAGGATGCGGTGGAAGACATCGGGGAGCCGATTCAGGAGGCCAAACAAGGGGTCTAGGAGAGTGTACACTGATATGACTTATTGGACAAGCGATCTGGTGAACGGTACTTGGTATTGATCTGTGACTACGCACCATGATATTGTGCATATACATCAACGCGACCGAGCCTTCTTCTTGGGAGGGGACTCAATAATCTCCAGGTCAGAATCGGGCTCCTCGATGGCTCGCTTCTTCTCCTTCTCCCATTCCTTCATCTTGGCCTCTATGGCCTGTAGACAAGCATCCTTCAGTTCCTCTCGATTCAGCCCGCCCACATCATCATGTTCATCTTTCCACCACTTGCGAAGAGTATCGCTCCAAGCCTCTCGGGACGTATACTGAGTCTTGTGTCCGCTCCTCTCCATCCAGTCCTTGATGCGCTCCACCACCATGTCAAATTGCGAACGCCGGGGCGCCAGTCTCTCAATCTGCTTCTCCAGCTCAGCCATCTCCTCGATGCGCATTTTGTCCCCCGCAAAACCCTCCGTCACCGCGTTGCAGCCGTCAAAAGCGCTTCGAAGAGAGAAGCTGACGCCGTCTCTATCGACCTTGGACGCCCAGCAGACGGCCATGTCGTAGGCCTGGAGGAGTCCAAGCCGGGAGAAGCGCAGCATGGATGTCGCGTTAGTCAGGCCAAGTACCAGCGTATGAACCGGCTCGCCGTCGGGTCGCTCTCGCTGGGTGAGGCTGATGGTGACATGTGGGTGGATGTAGTTTGCCAGAGGAAGTCGCTTGCCCGGATCATCATTCGAGTTGTTGTCCTCCTCCAGATCGTCAATCACATGAGCCTTGAGTTGAGCAATCGGAGGTATGGGGACCTCAAAGGGGTATCCACCGACGCACTGCCTGTCCGGACACAGCGCCGCCCAAATTCGCTGGCGGACTCTGAGAGGTGTTGATGAAGATGTTGGAAATTTTGCATTGGTGCGAGGCTCTGGGGTGGCTGGCGGACGTTTGCGCTTCGGTGACGCTCGCTTCGTCTGTGATCCCTCAGTATGCGGCAGTGTAGGAATCATCACCACTTCCTCAGCGCGAGACTTCGTAGAAGTAAGCAGACGTATATCGCTGTCTGATGGTGAATCTCGCTTGGGTTTTGGCTGTCGCTTCGGTGTCTTAGGCGTACTGGGCGGTGACTCTCTCTTCTGTGGTGCATCCTTGAGTGCCTGTTCTTGCGGCGGCGGAGACTGAGAATGATCTGCTGTCCGACTCGCTGCGTGATCTCTGAGTTCCCTGAGAAAAGTTACATCATCCACACCGCCAGGCTTGTCGTGGAGAAGGAAGTTGCCGAATACTCTAGCCCATTCGCTACTTTCCTTCGCAAAGGCCGCTGGATATGTAGCTCCGGCCCTGAGCACTTTCAGCCTCCTTAGTGTCTGACCATCGTTGTAATTTCCTTCGTTCCTCTGCCTCATAATCGTTTCGAATGCCAAGGTGTACTCGGCATTGTGCTTCTGATCGTTCTCACATGTGTCGGACGCAGGTGTATATGCCTGGCCCACCAGGTTTGTTGCGTCAAATCCATCATTAGGCCAGTCGGTAACAGTAAAATTGATGCGGCGCGTAATTTCGGCAAGGGATTCCGTTGCCTTGTCATAACATCTACCAATCTCGGCGATTTCACGAAAATCGCGTGAGCCTGGCAACAAATGTGGTTTCTTGTTCAGACTTTTGGTGAATGAACGGGACCACGGATATCCGTATCCATCATCTGGAAACCCCAAAACAAGTATCCAGATGTCTATGGCCGTGTGTATTGGAGGCATATTGCGGCGCCGCCGAACGAGCCATTTCATATGGTGTTGTAGCAGCTCGTCACCACCCGCAGGCAGTAGCTTGCAGTCATCGTAGCAATGTTTGACAGTGTTGCACATTGGGCAACCCTTGACAGTACCATATATGAGGACTCTTTTGCTCAAGTAATAGCAATCTGCCAACTTGTGGCCCGGTTTCTTGCATTTGCCACAAGAGACGCTCGACTTCGTCTCGTCACCATTGCCAGCATCGTCGGGGTGCTCGCTGTCGGAGGACATCGTTGCGATCTGAAAATAAGACTTAGCGATCCTCTCAGAAACAGAAAGCTGCCGTAAGTGTGTAGAGAAGGACCGACTTACCTGGCCTAGAAGTAGCAGCCTTCCAAGTGGTATCTGCAGTTACAGTCGCCAAGGTGACGGAGGCAATTGCATTGGGGGCGTCGATGTGATCAAATCAGGGCAGAGGAGTGGGATTGACGATTGGAGTGAGAGGAAGAAGTTGTTGCTTTGTGTAAATGTCTTTCTGGGAGGTGAAAATTTGAAAAAAGGTGAAAGGTGAAAGGTGCAAAGGTAGGAGGGCAGGTCTATGGTGGCTCACAAAAAGGAAGGAGCGACTCTCAGCTTCCTTCCTTCCAAGAAAGTCGACTACATTTTTCATGGCAAACAATTCATCACACACATGTCCCCTAGAAATTGAGAGTTGGAAACTGTGCCATCAGCTTTGGAATCTCGCCCTCCCTCACCTCAGCCTCTCTCATCTAGACCAAGTCGGCCACCAAGGGCGGGAAAGCAGGTAAGTATTCTTCGCCGAATCTGAGAGAAGGTCCATAAGAAGACCTTGAAGATGCCAGGGGCTTCCATCTTGAGAGTAAATCCTATACGGTACCTGTCTTTGTTCTTGACCATTGTTGAGGCTCGCCAATCTTAATGCAGATACTGCGACGTCCTGCTTAAGGGAAGGTCATGGCGTGTGAAGGACATATGGCTGCCAATAGGTACCCTATAATGGAACATACCATCTAGGCTTATACAGTAGTATCAAACTGTTCATTTACTTTACGTCTAGCAGGACTTCTTGCTTGAGGTCAGGCACTCTGCCCGTTTCGTGTTGGTGACACGATTCCGGAGTCTATTGAAGACAGCTGATATCTATGCAGGAAGAAGACGAGAAAAAAGCGAGTTGGGTCTGGGCGTCATATCCACGGCAGCTTAGTCCTTGACAAACCTCTTCAAGTAAATATCATTCTAATTAGATCCCATCACATGCTCATGAATGATATAGGCAGACAAGTAGTCTCTTTCTCATTCACGGCAAAGGTGGGGTCTGCGTGGAAAAGAAGGAACTAGATTACACTTTCACCTGCACCTTCCTCATCTCTCTTTATCACACCCCATATCTCTCAAACACCGTGAGACTCATCTACAACTCACTGCAATGCAATTTAAAAGGAACAAACATCACTAAAAATGACAAGAATCACAAAAAGAATGCGTGAGGCATTGAACCACACCCGATTTGAACGGATAACCTTTCGATGAACCACTGCTGGAGTCGAACGCGCTACCGTTGCGCCAGCGGTCCTATTGGATGAAAGGCATAGTTGTGTAAGAGCTGAAGTCTTGTTGCACGCGCGGCCTTCTGTCCGACGGCCCGTATGATTGGCTGTACAGGAATAACTGACCCACACCGCCTTACTTTAAGCATTGCGGAATGGGCCGACGCATGTTCTCACTTCGGCGCTCACACAAATCCGGGCCCTCCCACACAGTCCAGTCTGAGAAAGGAGAGTCATGATGCTGCAGGCACCGCACCACCGCCAACATGACTTCCAGAGCGGAGCAAGGTGGGCTCGTGACGACCCTCCCTCGCCCCGTGAGAACCAAGAAATCAAGGACACCGCATGCTGAACGTGTGTCTCGTCATGCGAGACAAGCGCGCTTGCCATCCCCAGACGCCCAGAGGGGCTCTATAGGAAACGTCTGGAGTCCTGGACTTTGGCCCTCTTGCCCATCCTGCGATAGTAGAACGTACCGAGAACCGTAGATCAGCGTTTTCTGGTGATCTAAAGCCGGGGAGCCGCGAGTCTACGACGGCAACCCCAATGCGACAGACCTTGCGGACCCTGACCACCCACCAGAGTGTTAGAGAGAAAGAGACCTCTACGCCGAAGCCGGGTCACGGCGTTCAGTGAGTGGAGACGCTCTCTGCGGCAGGCGGGGGAGGTTGTTGCAACAGGACTGGGTCTTAATGGTCCTCTGATAACACCCATCCAAACGCTTCCGAGGGTCGACGCCGCTTGCTGCCCCTCGTTTTCTCTTCTCTTTTCGCATGCATCCGGTACGTACGGTGACATCGGTCTGTTGCCCTGTACTGTGAACGGGAGTGAGTGAGAGAGCACAGACTTTTGAAACAAAAATTCCTTCTTCACCTTCTGTATCCGTCCCATGTGGGAATGAATTGGCCGCCGCGATAAGAGGATTCGCCGCTTGTGGCGCCCTGCTCGTGTCTGTGAGCTTTGAGTTTGACAACTTTGACAGAACCCGTATAGCGGGCTGCGCTGCCGTCCAGAAGCAGCCCGCTCGTCTGTGCGACAAGATTACCTGATCAGCATGTCGTCTGATCCAAGAGGCGCCATCATTGAGCTGCCTGACACAGCGGATCTCCCAAACGCGCGCAACAATATGGGATGCCTCAACCATCGAGCATACTTGCGTACATACTTGCGTACCCCGCCCTTGAATGAGACGGCCCTGAGCCAACGGAAGCGTATTAAGGCAGAACCTCGGCGCGGATGATGGATCTGCGCTGGGGGATTGGTCTGAGGAGTGGTTTCCCCGACACCAGGATGGGCCGTCTTGGACATGTTTGAAAATAAGTGTGAAACACTCCAATCGTGTGGGACGCGATCAAGATCCAACGCTGGACTGCATGAGCCCTGGCCGAGTCGTCGATTTGGAATGGACAACTTGTTTCGCCGCCCACTCGCCATCATCCGACCAAGGCAGGTCGCAGAAGATGAAGCCGTCTCTGCAGACCCGAGGCCGCTTCTCACCACCCCCAAGTCGGAGTGTGATGATCCTCCAGGTTGGACGGAGATCGGCTTGAGGTCGATCCCACACAATGCCGCCGAATCGCTCCCGGAATCCCGCTGTGTGCCGTCTTCTCATCCGAAGCTGTCCGTCTCGAGAAGCCACCGCGTCACCCCGTTTGCCAACTTACTTTGTTGGCAATATACTGCATCTGCCTTCCTCAAACGGACGAGCAGGATACGTCTTGTGGTCGCTCGGCTTTTCCGATAAGCTTGGCCATTGTGGTGTGGATGGCCGAGTCAGCCAACAAGACTTGTTCCACGGACAATTGCACGCTGTGGTTGCATGGGACCCGCTTCATCCCATTTCTGCACTGGTCTCTGATAGATTCTGCGGGTTGAGCCTTTTCGGATCCGACTTGTGAATGAACAGAACACAGCATGAAGAGCGCTCAAGTACCCGTTTGATCGACACCCGCAGCGGAAGACGCAAGACTGACTCAACGGTAGCGGAAGCACGAGAAACCACGTGTAGACTAGGCAAAATGTTAATTGAGGTCGCGAGCCGTTGATGAGGACAAGTGGCTGCGGACAAGACAACGCTAGAGCGGTAGTCGGCGTTCTTCTAGAACTATATCGGCAGATGCTCCGGACCTGTCCGTAGTAGGCTGGCGATCGACATCACCAACGCACGCCCCGTCAACGACGGACCGGTGACGAGGCGGCAGTAGTTGGATAGCTTGTCGCTTGACAGTCTGCCAACGACCATACAGACCACGTTGCGCCGTTCAGGTCAGTGAGCTATTCGACTAGCCACATGAGCTTCTCGTGTTTGAGGCAACGTTGAGAACGCCATCGGCCGACGTCGTCACACGTCGTGAAGCCAGCAACTGGCAATACGAGCCAACCCCGGCCTGTCCACCTTGGGCATGAGTGTTTGAGGATGGCACTGACGCTGAGCAGAATTTCCAAGACCGCGGTTGAGGATGCCTGGTCCGCCTGGCCAGCTATTGAAACCTCCTTCATAGAATCTGTCCTTGTGAGAACGACCCGATGATGTGTAGCAAGCATGTTGGTAATTCACATCTCAGGATCGGGCTGGCTTTTTTCGAGCCCGACGCTAGCGCGTTCTGGACCGTCTGATGTCTCCGATGAGATGTCTTTATTCCCTTTCCATGTCGACCCGAATGTCTGATAAGCTCTAGAAGTTGACTGGCGTTCGCGAAGCATGTTCGGGGGGCTTGCAGCGCGGAGACGAGCCGCAGGAATGGTGAGACGTGAATCAGTCTTGGCTCCGTCCCAAAACATGGCAATCCAAGCTCCAGTTTTTCCATCATCTCTCCTGCACGCCACATATCCCGGGGTACCTCTCACCGCAGAGGCGTCTGTTTGCATTGCCGATGTCTTGCTAGACTGTTGGCGGGTAAATAGATGCGCAAGTCAGTTCTGCAAGAGTCTGGGAAAGGTAGCCTAGGCACTTTGCTACAGCCGGCAGTCCAACCAAAGCTGTCATGACTTGAGCCGGCAGATTCGAGACTGAAGTTGAATGTAGTCGACAATCTGCATTGGGACCGCATGGTCGCAGCCACACGCACCTACCGAGAGGGCCCGTGCGAGGCCGGTCTTCAACGAAAGGGTCGGAACTGCAGCTCGGTTGAGTTGGGTTGTGATCTGCAGGCTTGACACGGTGCAAAGTCAGTCACCGCACACTTCAATAACTGCAACATTCAACGACGATTACAATACCCGGCTGTCACCGCCCTTTTGGCGAAACCTGGGCCAGGCCTGGGGCGGCTATCGCCTATTCTCCGTAGGCCTCCTAGCGATGCCTTCACCAAACGCCTAGAGACGGCATTTTAAACCAGGCCACACGTGGCGCAGGGGGGTAAAAATTGGACCTGGCTGAGCACTCGCTGCGCAGCTCACGTCAATCGTTACTGGACTGAGCAATCACGTCGCCAGACCTGGGGATATCTTCAATCCTTTGCGTGAGTGAGACACACCAGGGGTTGCACCCTGGCCCGAATGCACCGTCCCGCCAGCGAAACGCACCGTGGCTGGAGTCTTGGACGGGACGCTTGAACAAACCAGCCGAGCCGTTTGTACGCCCTGAAAGTGGACGTCGGGCATCCGGGCGAATGGGTCTCGCGGCACGCCCGGTCGCTTCACGGCAAGACAGGGGCCCGATCTGGTTCTCGATGGTGATGTGCTGAGCTGGCAGGGCATCGAAACTTGTCCAGGAGATGGATGAGCACACCGCCGATGCAGTTGACAAGTCGGTGGCAGAGAAGAAGAAAGCGCATTTGTCGAGAGATCATTGTGAGCGCAGTTTCCTTCTTCCTGATCGGTCCTGTGGGCTAAATCGGGATGCATGTCCGTATCGCTGCAAGACCGGCGGCGAACCATAATAAAACTTTGATATCGTTACGTATCCATTTTCTTTCTCAGGGTGCTGGTCGACTTGACGCCGGCCAACGATCACGGCGTCCGCCACCGCGCATCTTGTTGAGCTTTGGCCAAGCGGGAGCGAGGCCGTCAACGCCGTCAATCTTTGGACATCATTTGCCTCTGTAATGCAAAAGCTCGTGATGCAATATAGAGCGTGGCTGCGCCTGACCAAGCTAAGTTGTCGCTAGCTGGATCCGTATCTTCTCGCGATTCATCAATTGCAAAGGCAGGGCCGTGCCAGCGAGACGGGACTCTGGAATGGTGGTCGCGAGCTGTTAGCTTGGAGATTCGGCGGCGGTCGCTACTCCTCTCTGGTCTTTGGACAATTTCCGATTTGGCCCCCGTTTTGTGCAATGAGCCGGACCAGGATCATCCTCCTATCGATGCAAGGAAGACTCTGCCAGCAAAAGGCTTCGGTTGGAAAGTCAGCGATGGACAATCGCCCCCCCCCCCCCCCCCCCCTGCTTTGCCAATGATGTAACTTCAAAGAGGGACTCCCCGGTAATTCGATATGAAGAGTGCTTCCACTATGATCTGTGTGCCGCTATATGGAGCAGGCTGTAGCAGAACCTACATACCTCCTGAGCGCGCTGGTATCTGCCAGAGACCTGAGCTGCTGAGCAAAGCTGCCATTGCACAACAGCAGGTATTGTCTTTCGTGCGTAATCAAATAGACGGCCGAGGAGCATTTCGTGCGATTCGGGTCGGCTCAGTGAGGCCCCACATTGGCCCACAGGCTGGTTACAGCAGCAAGAATCTGGGCAAGGCAGGGCGGTGACCCCTCGTCGACGGGGAATTTGATGCACATATCCGTCCCCACGAGCTAATTAAGCGTCCCCTTTATTGTGCGTCGGTCATGTTACGGCAGACCGTCTTGTCCGACGGTTACGCAGCATTTTCGGTCCGTATTGACAGATGCCGACGGGACGCTCGCGGATGAGTATGAGGACGCAGTAGCCGAAGCAGAAAACGCTGCAATGACCCGAATGTCTTCAGATGAGCACATTACCGAATGAATGCATCTGCTGGCCGGCTGTTGGTTTCAGCAGAGTGGTTGGTTAGAGTCCGTCTGGCCTAACGGCTGCCCGTTTCACCAACGCTTCCGCCAACCGTCTGTGTAGCCAGTCGATTGGAACGATCTTGCTCCCTGATACTAACTGCATCGTGGATCCCTAGGATAACAAGATAGGGACTTGGGCTGTACGCAGTAGAGGCGCTGCAGACCTAGCGCCACTCGTGCAGCAACGGCGCCTTAGCTTCAATTGCTCTAGGCACGCCAGCCTGGCTTCTGGAAACAGCCTGGTCCTCGTTGGAAAGCCGCTGCGTCTCGCCCATTGGTGTGACTATCAACCAACCGGCATCCTGTGTATGGATGAGTGATCTCGCCCGCGTCGGCTGGGAAGCTATTTGCCATGGAGTACGTGTCGCTGTGCCTCTCGAGTATTGGCAACGATGTAGCAACTCGCTTGAGACGTCGTGAGAAACGGGCGATGGATCAATATTGCGGCAGAGTATAATTGCGTTCCGATTACTGAGTCGTCCGTGAGCTACTTCGATAAGCATCGCGGGTACCAAGATGGGGACGTTTTGGTAGTGGGCGATCCTTTGATGCCACCTCAGGCCACATACCTAGTCTCACTCTCAATGGCAGGGTTTGCTCCGTCAAGCAGTGACCACTTCAAGCAACAACCATCTACTATTGAAATGCTCACTTCAGAGTTCAACTCAGGTACTCCATATACGCACGAATACCTGGGCCTAGGGTGAGCGGGCAGAAGAAGGTTTGAACCAGACTGGGTAGGTCGTAGGGGTCCTATTGGGGTTGTCTTTGGATACTTCGGCTCCTAGGCCCTTCCATGCCACGTGCCGTGTGGCTGATAGCACAGAGCGGGCGGTCGGCCCTGGTGTTTCCCCTGCCAATCGTGCCATTTTGACGGTATTTCCAAAGTACGAAGAACAAATGTCCCAACGACACGGGAAACGAGATGAGCGTCTGTCGCTATCTCATGGCGGAGAATGCTTGCCTCGGGGTTGCCTGTTGGATTCTACGGCGTGTATCCGTACCCGTGCGGATACAGGAGGAAGCCGAAGCAGGCACATGCGGCGTGTATCGCATTCTGCGTATCAACGAGCTTGACACCCTCTTCTGCGGTCTGCGGCCTAGTGCTTCACTGAAAGAAAAGGTTGTTTAGCATAGCCATCGCAAGCCCATCATCACTAGAGAAGGGAGGCGCGGGAGAAGGGCCTCCAATAAGCGGAGTGTGTGCTTGGGCGGACAGGAACCATCAGGGATGGCATCCAGAGGAGGGACGGGAAGACCCAATCGAAATGGAGGGACTGGGTAACCCGATGACGACGGCGGTTTGCATAGCGCTTCCGCTGACGAC